TCTCTCTCTCTCTCTCTCTCTCTCTCTCTCTCTCTCTCTCTCTCTCTCTCTCTCTCTCTTTCTTATCTAGAGTGCTTTAAAAATTATTTTTAAAATTTTTTTTGTTGTTATTTTTTTTAAATTCTGTCCTTATTAATTATGTACTATTATTATAATGAAAACTTAGAAAGTTAACTTATTTTTAGAAAATTTAATCATAATGCATAATTTTTAATCTACAAATTTGTTTCATAGTAACTTTTATAAGCATCCATTTTATCGCGTGCACGAAAATTGGGGGAAGAGCAATTCGATTTTACGGTGGCTGATGGTGCTTGATACGATTTTGCGGAGGAAGACGATGACATGGCATTACTGGCGGCATGGTATGTGTTGATCTGAAATAACGTCAAAAAAAGAGAAAAAAGAAAAAAGTTAATATATTAGAAAAGAAGAGGAGAATATAGCTTTAACCAAACGATTTAGTTAATTAACATATTAACTTACTACCACATTTACATTAAGAAATTTTATTATAATTATATCGGGGTTTCATTAAATACAAGAAAAACTAAAAATAATTAATTTTTTTTCATTCCTATTACACATACAGGAAATACGTAACGACACTTTCAAGTTCACATAATTAGTTTCCCTTGTACTGTTGTTATCAAAAGTTTATACAAGAATACAAAACATAATTTTATATATACATGACTTTTAAAATAAAAATATAAAAATAAAAAAAAAAATAATCAAATAAAAAACCGTTTTTGTTAATGTTCACAATAAGGAAGTCCGATGATGTTCCAATGTTAGCAAATCGTTAATAAAACGTTTGCATTCCTGAGCAAGCTTTTAAGGAATTTCGAGCGTTTTCTTTAAAATTATCGGCTTTTATTTCCTAGGCCATTAATGCCTATGCCTAAATTACTAAAGATAATTGCCGTTTAGATATATTTAGGTTTGCGGTAGTGATTGAACTGCAAGGCTATTCAAGGCTATTTGCTCTACGAGTAACGACTAGCGTGAAAAGTAAGCATTTTGTGCTCTATGACTGGCAATAGTAGTCACTCGCACGCATTTACCTATTTCAGAATAATTGATTCCAAGAATAATATCTTGAATTTCTTAAATCTACCGCATCAGAAAATGTAGAAGCTCTTCAAGGACTTTAGCTCAAAAAAAAAAAAAAATAAAGAAGGCACAAGAAGGCTACGTTCGCTTCGAAAAATTTCTTATTATACAAACTTCTTCGTTTAGCAAATACAACTGTTTTATAGGTCCATCCATACTTGATTCATCATCAGCTGAATGAGACGTAAAAGTCATAGATGAAGCAAATGTTGTAATATTCACAAATTTTCTTAGAAATTTATACCGCATTTACAGCAGCGTTCAAGAAAAGCTTAAATGCCTTGATTGCGTATGCATATCTATGTTCGTATATCCGCAACGGATATAGATAAAGATAAAAATTTCCATATACATTCTATGGGTTACATCACATTGCTTGTAAAATCAATCACGCCTACGCGATTGTAGGATATCGAAATTTCGTTTTCACCTTAATTGATTATTTTTTAATATAAGTGCTTTGGATGGATATACTACTATACCAGATGCTTTACTATACATATACTAACTAACATTAGAATATTCTAGAACTGTTAGTTTGCATTACGAACGACGAAAGTGGGCTCATAAAGATTTTACTGATTGTTGCTGAACAATTTTTTTTTTTTTTGTAATGTATTCAAAAATAATAAACTTATTTGGCCGGTACAGGTAGATGCGCTGTATTAAGCTGTGTATGCAAGTCATTTCATAATTGAACGTAATTAGACTGAATCGCTTCGTAATAAAATTAATAATTAACACGCACGCCTACACCTACGGCATTGCATAGCCGGCACTCAATAAGAACATTTAAAATATATATAAGTAGCGCGAGAAAAAAAAAAAAAAAAATTCAATTCACTTTAGGGAGAAACTTAAGTTCTCATCATTTAATTATATATTTTTTTCTTAATTTTCTTCCTTCTGATAAAATCGATGCGATATTTTCGATTAACATCGTATCGTCATCGGCTATATTTCGGAATTTGTTAATGAAAAAATTACATTGAATTTCTTCTTTTTTTTTTTTACTATATATATAAATATATTTTCGTGCAAACATCCACTTACATATAAAATATATACAAAGTTGCAGATTTCTATTTAAGTTTTTTCAATTTGCAATTTTTCAACAACACTTAGAGATGCGCAGACGCAAACGGTTAAATCGACTTAAGTTATCATTATATATATATGTTATTAGTTAGATTTTTTTGTTGCTTATTGCTGATATTTATAAACGATATGTTCAGTTTTGCAAATCTATATACTATGATGGATTAATGAATATTTTTCATTGCTCTGTTGAAAAGGAAAGATACTCATATCCATATAAAGTGCCATTCCGAAAATGACTCTTCATCAGAGATTATTCTTAGATTGAAAAGTGCCTCCATTTTTGTCGAAAAGTCATAAAAAAAAAAAAAAAAAATCTAGAGGCCAATTAAACAAAAAAGATTTCAAATGCTGCAAGAAAGGAATTTCGAATTAGAAGGGCAAAAAGGGTATTGGTCCTAGCAACTGTCCTATTAGTTTAATTTTAAATCGATTTTTGTTTTAAGCCCCTTCATAGTTTCCTAGCAATCTTGGGCCAGTTTACGGGCGCGCGTTCGAACTTGATTTGTTAATTAAACTCAAGGAAAACAAAGATGTTGTTTTTGACCTCGATTTGTGATAGTCGTGATCTAAATCGTCTCAAAATTTACAAGATAAACATATACATATATATATATACATATATACAACATATACATATATATATATATACATACATACATATATATATATATATATATATATATGATAGATATGTGTGTTCTAAACCAGTTAACAAATCGAGCATACCCACTAAGTGCACGCGATCGTTGAGGATAGGTTTAAAAAAAAAAAAAAAAAAATATTTATTTACTGTGAAACTATAGCAGTTCTTTTAGCGAAGCAGTCACGAAACAGTTGCAATAAAAATCAACGCACACACACACACACACACACACATACCTATACGGAAACACACAACAACAATATTTGTTGTCGTATTTGATTTATTACAGTTATTATTGCTGACATCTTTTTGAATGCATAATAAATTTCTTTCTTTGATTATTCTCAGCTCTCTATCGGTGCAAATATCACGTACACTGAAATTCTCAGAACGTCGTTAACATTTCGTCGTTGGAAAGAAAAGTAAAAGTTGGCAAAATTTTTCAATATTTTTAAATTTTTCTTTGCTTTAAAATGTTTGGCAAATAGCGCAACTTGCAAAAATTTTGTAAACAATTAAAATGAAAAACTAAATACAACAATTCTCCGGCGATAAGAACAAATTCAATATTTGCAAATAAAAAATTTGTTGGAAAACATACATGTGTATAGACAATAAGCATGCGAATCGATCAGAAATGAAAAAAAAACATTATATGAGCGAATTTATGATCCCTATATCATCCAGAGAGATAATGACTTAACACATGTCGAAAAAATAAGCCACACGGGTACACACATACACACACACGTACACACACACACACACACACACACACACACACACACATAATTAAAACAATAAATGATAAACATTACGACGAGATACAACTAATAACATGGAATTTGGCTCTTTTTTTTGTTTTTTTTTTTTTTGTTTCATAGCACAACAACAACTGTTTAATCTCATTCTTTGCAAGTAAACATTATGCCGGTTATGCGAACATGGATTATATGCGAGTGAGCGCTGATTCATACAGTTTGGCTGAGATGTTTCATTTAGATATTGATTATAATACTGTTAAGGAAAAAAAAAAAAAAACGAGTCCTCCACCTTATGGGGTCCATCATATTTTTCTTTTAACAGATAATAATATCTTCTTGTTAGGTGTGTGTACAGAACAATTGTCAACATTCTGCTTGTGTTTATGTGTCCGAGCAAAAAATTGAAAAAACTAATGAAAAAAAAATTAAATTTTGATCACTTACAAGTTTATGTGGACTTGGGGCGATTTTATAAATTTTTCGTACATGAAGCAAAAATAAAGGAAATTGCAGCCGCAAGATAAAAATCTTGTAGAACTTATGAGTAATGGACAAAAAACGATACGTACCTTTTTGTTTGGGTAAGCAGGTATATGCTTAGTTTACGATTGAACCGTGATCGTGAGCTTTGTCCCATTTTTAATGGTAGCTTGCATGTAAGAGCTTTCATTGTCTCTGCCAACTCTGGAACGGATAGCTTCATTTTTGCGAACAGTAGAAAGTTTACCACAGACAGAGAGGCAGACAGACAGACAGACAGACAGACATGTTTAAGTTGATTTAGAATTTAATCCTGTCTTCTCGGACATCTTTCAGTGTGGCATTTGCCTAAATAGGTGCTATCTTGGGAAAAGTTTTGAACAACGTTCCATTCTTTAGGGATTTGCTAACAGTTTAGCGAAAGTCTCTCTTCTATGGCTTACGGATCATTGACGCCGATAAATCGAATTGAATTTAGATCGTCACAGTTACAACAATTTATGTAATCAAAGCAAATGGATATTATTTCAAACAATACGTCTACGCGCATTAATTAATACTTCCAAGTCGAAGCTAATCCCCACCTTTTTTAAAGCTTTAAAGATTTTTATTTCAATTATCAAAATTAAGTGGAAGACCTTTAACCAAAAAAAAAATTTTTCATTTCACTTACATAACATGTCCTATAGCACTTATGCACTTACGATATATGGTGTATTAAGTTTATGTGTTTGTATGTAACACATCGAAAGCGTATTTAAGATAGACTCACTTTTTATTATATCGAAAATGATTTTGAATCGATTTAAGTTTGTCTGTCCGTCTGACTGTGTTATTGTATCGCAAATTTTTATTTATTTTTTTGATGAATTTCGTTACATCATCGTGGCAGGACACATGGGCAAACCCTATTGAATCACACCTCTCACATTAGGCTTTCTTTTGAAGAACTAATAGCCCGGAAGGTCTATTAAACTAAAACGTGCTTCATAAGGAAAATAAAACTTCCTTTTTGATTATTTAAAATTAATTTATTTAAGTCAAGCAAGAAGAGATAGCTGCTTAGAATGCGCTATAATAAGTAACAACACAGATAACTCACAAACCGAAAGGCATTTTTTGTTTCCGTTTTCCGTGACTTAACAACTTTGTTTTATAATAAAATTTTTATTGAAAAAGTTTATTGCGAGTACTACTCCAGAATATAAAATATATGATATAACGTCACAAATACTATAACAAGAGAATACATTCTCTCTTGATTAGCGTTCAGAGCACAGAGATCTCAACATCGATACGAAAATTTTGTTTTCTATCTGAGTGGACAGAGAAGAGTATATTCAACGGTTTAGTGTAAACGATCGCACACTTACAACATTACAACGGCATCTTTGGCTAATCTAGATTGCCTTAGAAGACCACCTGTGACACGCTTTGCTTCAAGATTTTAAGACAACCAACAAATTCTTAGGATAGAATGTAGGTACGCAAGGCACAAGGGCCAAGCGAGGGCGCTTAATTTTCATCTGCTACTTATTGTATTTCTTACTTTAACACTAGAATTATCGAAGGAATTTGTTTGTGTCCATTTCCACTAAAGTGGATCAATTTAACGCATGATTTTTGTGGTATCATCACAGGCGTGAAAGTGAAGCTAGGAAGCTACACAACTAAGAAGCTAGGAACCGGGAATTTAACATAAACTTTTAAGAACCCAAGATAAAAAAATGGAACACGGAGAAATCGTTCACATTTTCGTCTTTAACTATCAATCGTTAAAGATATATCCGAAAAACTGACCGGACGTTTGTTAAGAGACACTTGCATGTTCGAGCCAAAAATGGAACGAATCACTTCGCTGACGTGCCCAACTCAATGAATGATAAAATTTCAATATCAATTTGCTACTACTTGTGGTATAGGGCTTATTAGGCAACAATCGTAAGGACTGGAGGCTTTTATCCTATTGAACTATTTAGAATCACTTTCGGAAACCATCTAAGTTTCTCTGCCCTTCTGCCTGTTTTGTTGCCAACCTACAGAACGCAACATCCAGTAAGAATACAGATAGACCTGACTTTTATCATACTGATTTACTTAGAATCATTTCTAAATTGATTGAAGCTTCCCTGTCCGTCCGTACGTCCTCTTTCCAACCTAAAGATCATAACAGGTGGATGGCTTCAGATAGACCCGCCTTTTGTCATACTGATCTACTTAGAATCATTTCCCAAATTGATCTTTGCTTGTCTGTACGTCCGTCGGTCTCGTGTTCAACATACACATTACAAATTAGTGCCGACGTGTTTTGGCGCCAAGAATGAAAACAATTGAAAATGCTTCAAATCGGATCACTTTTACGACAACTTCCCATATAATGCCTTAGTTTGAAAAGTTGATATATGAATAAGTGCAAGATGATGTAAGCGGACTATCATGTCTTTACTTGCTTTTAATTGAGTGAAGAACATGCTGAAGAGCCTTAAAATAAATTGAAAATAGGTTGCATAGAATGGCTTAACATTTTAAATACAATTTCATGCCCAATAAAAATTCTGTTAACTTGAATATTATGTCAAATGTTGTGAAGCTGTTGATTAACTAAATCTATCTTAAGTTGAGGGTAACGGTAATGGTTTGCTTCATTTTATTATCCGTCAAGGCACTATCTATTATAATTCGTTATCTACCTATCTTAAGTTTAGAGCCGGTAGTAAAAAGCTTTCTATATGATTAACGAAAAATAACTTTTACGAATAAAAGTGAAGCGAGTAAGTAAGTAAGTAAGTAAATATTCAAATAAATTAAAATTTTTAAATGGATTTATAATCTTACATGTTGATCAAGAAAGTATGAAATTTTATTAATAATGGTAGTAGTAGTAGTAATAGCAATAGTAATAGCAATAGTAATCACGTTCACGTATATTTTCATGTTATTCCGCCTATATGATCGCAAACTTCTTCTTCACTTCTTCTACTGTGCGTGTGCTATTCCCGATGAAAAAAAAAAAAAAAAAAAAAAAACAAGAAGCGGCTTGATGCATAAAGAACAAAGTTACCAGCAAAACCCTTTTAGCAGTAAATTTAAAACAATTTTTGGAATTAATACTATAAGTAAAGTGCCCATAAATCTTTATACCCCTAATTTATATACACACACAAACTTGAAAAAAAAACCAATAAAACATCGATATGAACATGAAAACATTTTACAACGTTTACGCATTACGTATGCATGTACATAGAAAATTTTGTTCAAAAAAAAAAAAAAAAACAAAAAAAAATAATAATGTTAACATTCACCGATAAGTTAAAAGACATTAAATATACAATCAATTAATAAAGATTTTTTTTTTTTTTAACTTCATTTGCGAACAAAGACTTGAGTAATTTTCTTTATAAGCATCTAAATGTAAATTTGTTACATATATATAATGTAATTTCGTATGTGCGTGTGTGTGTGTGTGTGTGTGTGCGTGTGTGTGTATGAGTTTCTATACGTATTTGCGTTTTGTTACCTCTTATCAAGATATCAGTGAATGCAGTACGTTGCATCATATATATATATATATATATATATGAACATGAAAATAAAACTTGGTTTAATTTAAACTCTATTAACGATGAGGGAAAACGGACGATGATAATGCTTCGATTTGGAGTTGTTTTACTTAAAAGGATTTTTTCATTTTTTTTTTTTTTTTTTTCTTTTTTTTGTGTCAACAAAGTCATTCAAATATGACTTTTATTTTCATAAATGTTTATAATATGGTTATCGAAGACTCTATGATTTTATGATGCCTTCACTTATTGTTTATAAAACGCTTCTTAAACCGTTAATACCGTACTTTATTTCCCTTTTTACATTTTTGCTAACATATTTTGATTAGTAGTTCCGTTGTTTATAATCATTCTGTGAAGTCATCGATTCTCGTGAATATGGCCAGCAGTTGCAGCAGTACACGCATACAGACACGACGAGACGACGTTTAAAAGTCTATATAAAAATTCATGGAAATTATGACTCATAATGTTTTTGCCATGTTAATCGCGTTGAATGTTGTTGTTATAATATTATGTTTGTTCATTTGTTTGTTTGCATTTGTTTTTGTTATTATTTTTACTAGACCCGAAGCCATATAAAACTAGCCGCACAAAAAAAAAAAAAAAAGAAACTCCCTTTTAGTTTGCATGCAACAACAAGACAAATTCCCCCCCCCCCCACACAAAAAAAAAAAAAATATTACAAAAAAAGGCCTATAGTGCTAGTGCTTAACAACCGAAAGTTAAGTTTTCTTATTTTTTTAATTTTATTTTTATTTTCATTTTTTTTTTTTTTTTTTTTGTTTTTATTTGCATTTGTGTGTAATTTAATCACTGCCCCACTTACCTTATCCTTGTCTGAAGTAACGTTACTAGAGGCTGCATTAACCGCTGTACAGCGATCGAACATTTTGCCATCGACAACATTGCGATGTTTGTTTTTTGATTTGAAGCGACCTGAGCGTGATATGGTGAAATTGCGCCTTTGATGACTGTACTGCTCACAACGTTTCTCCTCTTCGCTAAGGATGCTATCCAAATAGTTTATAGGTTCATGAGCGGTCATTGTATTGCTCATAATGTATAGCGCGAGCTTGCCAGTGTTTGCGGTGGTGGCGATGAAGCGAAGCTTTGTATTGAGACTTTTCTTGCCTTTTTCTTAAAAGTTTTTTTTTTTTTTCTTTTTTCTATCCACCACAAACAAAACAAAAGCAAAAAAAAAATTATTATTCCAACAAAGATTTATTGGCAGTTAAATGAATAGACAGCAAGCACTCTGGAACCACAAAATCTTTTGTAGACTTTTTTTCACACAGCCGCATACACATACACGTACATATAGGCGCACATTCACCTAAACTCTCTCACATATACGTACATATACATACACATACATATCTATGTATCTATATATATATATACATATATATATATATAGAACACCAATGTTTTATATTTGTCTGCTTATTTGTTTGTTGGTTTGTTGGTTTGTTTGTTTGTTTGTTTTCTTTTAAATCACAGCCGGGCAGCACGAAAAAAACGAGACTTTAGTGTAAACTGTCTAAATACAAAGTGACGTATGTTAAGCTCTACTGGGAACGTTCATCTATTTATTTATGTATGTCGTCGGGATCTTAAGTTTGCTAGTTTCACGAAATTAGCTTAAAAAAAGAAAAAACATTCAAATCCTCTCATGCTTTTCTTTTCTTTTTTTTTTTTTTTTTTTTTTTTTTTGTCTAATGTAATTTTTAGGTGGCTGTAGGATTTACATAAACGCCAAAAAAACTTTAACAATGAAAATAAATGACAGTTAGTCAGCCAGTCAGTTGTTGTGTTAATTTTTTAGTTAAAAAGAAAAAAAAAAAAAAAAAAAGAAAGGGCAAAAACACCAAAAAACAAGGCGGGTGAAATAAAGTTTTTTTTTTTTTTTTTTTTAAGTTTTTAAGCTAAAAGCTAGACGCTCGTTAATAAGTAAGTAAATAATAAGTAAGTGTAAGTAACCGTATCCGTTCGTAGCAAAGGCACTTTTATGAATGACACAACGAAGACCGCAACAACTGACTTCTGAGTGCACTCTGAGGCAAACGTTTGCTTCGTCTGTTGTTATTGTCGTTGTTTTACTGTTTGTTTTAGAGTGCCTTGTGGTTGTTATTATTATTATTATTATTGTTGCTGTTGCTGTTGTTGTTGTTGTGCTGTTAGACTGTATATTGTATTTTATTGTTTCGATGCGAGACTTTTAATACATACATATATATTTATGTATATATGTATTTATATATTTACTCCCAGTAACTAAATGACTTTGTGGATAGCATTGTTAGCTGAGTGGCTGACTGGCTGGCGGGTTTATTGTATATACATGTACATATATGCGCATATGTTTGTATATTTATTACTATATGGCTGACTATACATATATATATATATATATATATATATATATATATATGGTTGACTTACTGTTTATATTCTTGGCTGAGACGTCCTCTTCTTTTTGGCTGGCTGGTTGGCTGGCTGGCTGGCTGGCTGGCTGGCTGCCGGGCCAACATCAATAAACTTTAACACACGATCTCATCAAAACACAACAACAAGAACAACAACCACAACAGCAACAACAAGAATAATAAAGAAAGAAAAAGGAAAAGAAAACAAAAGCAGACAACATCAGAACACAACAACAGTAAGAAACGTAAACAACAATTAAAATAAAAACAAGAATAAAAACAAAAAAAGAAAAAAAAAAAACAAAACCCAAAGTTTTCAGTGTTGATCCAGTTTAAAGGTTTTTACGAGCCCTCCACCTTAGCAATGGATATAAACGAATAAGATAGACAGACATAAAATGAGGGCTAGAAAGAGAATAAATGCATTTATACTCACACATGTATCTATACTGTTAAAATTGCCAAAGAGTATACACATATATATATATATATATATATATATATATATATATATAGTGACGACGCGATGACCGGGCCAGGAGTAAAATATAAGGAAAACCGGAAATGTTACCCTTTTTCTATAACGGTTAACATGTACACATATGGATATATGTACACACCCAAGTAACTCTTCTTATATATATATATATATATATATATATATATATATAAAATACACTTATGTCACAACAGATTTTTTTAATCTGAGATTTTATAAAAAAAAATTTTTTTATATGATCAAAATTTTAAAACCAAATTTCACTTTTTTTTTCTTTTTAATTTTTTTTTTTTTTGTTTTTTTTTTTTTGCTTTTGTAACAAGTTAAGGTGATATACTAAGCTTGCCTTGCCATTTGTAAACTAACATCGCATGACTCACATGCACAGTGGTCGAAGAAATTTATTCAGGATTTTTGAATCAATTCAAATATTTAATGCATTACTAAATGAGCTTTCGCAATATTCGGTATATTAGAAAGAAAAGAAAATATTCAAATAATTTATAAAAAATTTAAATTTCATCATGAAAAACTTTATACATACATACATACATACATGCATATATGGAAAGATAGATGATAGCCAATTTGAGAGAAAGATGATGAGAAAATTCATTTTTCAATTTTTCCAAGCGTTTGCCAATGAATTGATTACCACATCTATGGTAAACAAAATTTATTTATTTATAATTTGGAAAAAGAAAGTTATGTAATTTTCAAATTATCTCATATTCTCCTCCGATCTTTTTGTTAATGAAATGAAAAAAAAAAAAATGCTAATTCAAAATTTTTCCAATAGCAAAAATTCGATATTCTTAATACTAATTAAAACGTAGTCGGATGATTGAAGGGATTGAAATTTTAAGACAAAGGCAAGCATTTCCCACTCGCTTTCCAAGCAGATATCTATATATATATATATATATCTTTTTTTTGTTCATAGCTTTACTGCTTCATTATAAAAAAACTTGATTTTTATCGGATAATTAATTGATTTTAAAACTGATCTCTCGACCTGACTGACGTAAATATATCAAAATCCTGAATTTGCTTTTTAAAGCAGTTGTAAGAACACTTAGTGGTGTGCAGTCAAATTCAAATTCAAACATCAGTTTTAACATCGAAGCAACGTTACCTCGGTCAGGGTCAGTTTTTCCTTTCAACTCGACTGGAACTCGCTCATGCTGCCATGCTGTACTAACATCTTCGGACTATTCGCTTTTTTTTAAGATTTAATTCACACAAAAAGTATGCAATGAAAATTTGGTTAAAACAAGTCAAAGTCCGGAGTCATTGCTCGGATATTTCCGTAACAATAGCTACCGGTTACGCTGTCCAATTGAGAAAGGTATTTCTATAATATGGCTTTCTCGTTTGTTATGCCTCACAGTTTACAAAAGGTGACATCAGATAACGTCTAAAGGCTCGCTGTGAATACAAAGTGAGCAAAATTAATGATTAGCTAATGAAACTTGCATTTACCCAAGGCAGGAAAGAAGCAGTGATATATTCAAGATTCGAACGGACGAGTAACTTGGCTTTCTTGGCTTGATTTACGATTATAAGGAAAGAAATCAAAAACTGTAAGATGAGGAAAACGCAGATGCATCTGTTTTAATACAAATTGAGGTTAATTAGCCCTTCTCCACTTTTCCAGTAACTTGATATTTCTTTCCGTTCAATTTATGCACAAAATATTAGAAACTTTTTATTAAGGGCAAATCTTTGATACTCCTTATCCTCTAGAATTTTACCTTAGAATCTAGATTAAAGATATATCCAAACTGTTTAGTTGTATTATATTTATTGTGGATACTTAGTAAGGATCCGATATTTTTGCACTCATCTAACTGTTCGAACCTATACATACATATGGACGGATTGCATCATAGAAATCATGCTCAATTTATTTTTATGTATTCTAGGCGGGTCATTTGACCGATCTCGAATTCGAGGCCGATATCATAATTTTTGCTACCGGAAGTGTATTTTACCTCAGACAAATGAACAAACGAATGGATATGTTAAAACCGATCACGAATATATATATATATATATAGTTTACATGCTCCCTTTAAGCCTTTTAACCGATTGACACCACACTTTTAATAATAATCGATTTTCACCATTTTCATTAAGCTACGAACCGAGAGAATGTCTACCGCGGACGTGACTAAATCGATTCAGCATTTTATACTAATCAAGAATATGTATACTGTTTAAAAGGTCTGAATTTTATTACTGGACGTTATAAACGTTAATAAAATGTCCTCAAGTCCAAAAAAAAAAAAAAAAAAAAAACTAGAAAATTTCAATAATTCACGCGGAATATGCATCATTCGGTTATAAACTTCGAATATAAAATTCACGTTCATTGCTGTTTGCTAACAAATAATTAATGCACTCTACTTGAAGTAATCGCATATTGTGCTATATATAGGACCAATACTTTTCATATTTCATATTTTGTATAAACAACTTTTTATATATATTAAGCTTTTAAGTGATTCATTATATAACTTGACGATAAAATGAATTTATATGAGATTTTGCCAGAATTTGAAATTGAAATCGTTATATAATTATGAGAAATAAAGTCAAAAAACATCGTTTTTACAACCACTACGATAAGTATGAACACAAGTCTACTAAATTTGAAACAAATTAACAAAAACAACGGAAATGATGCGGAAAATTGTGCAATAGCTATAAATATGTAGGCGTGTATGTGCATATGAGCAGGCGTCGTTATCTTGAAAAACGCATTATCTTTAAAGATTCTGTAATTTTATGGATAACGGTTTTAAAAAAGTACAATATAGTTGCCGCTAAGGCTTAAATAAAAACAAAAGCGTGGCATAACAAAATTTGAATTCATCTTTAGACGAATCTTGAAGCATTTACCATTTAAGGTAAATATATGATAATAATTTATGCACAACTTTCATAGCCATATCTACTGAAAAGAAAGTCTTTTTCAATTTTTCTCTACGTTCTGTAGAATTAATTCAAGAAATTTTAGATTTACTTAGAGAGAATCTTAGCCTCGAATGTGCGTGGTGAAGCCTAGGTCGTATAGGCCCATAAATGGCTAATCAAAATTTCACTTCTTGGTAAATTCTTAGCAGTCAGTTCAGACTCTCTCCCGAATATGTGATTTTGGACAACAATTCCATGCATTGTTACAAATGAAAAAACGAGCTTAATATACCGATTTACAAGAAAAAAAAAGGAGAAAAAAGAAAAGAAAAAAAAAAAAAAAAAAAAAAAAAAAAAAGATAAAAATTTCTTTACGATAACTATAAAATAAATGGAGACAAGTAACCTGAATTTAATTAACCATAAATATCGATTTTTCATGGCCGCCTTTAAAAAATCGACGTCTGACGAAACTTCTATCTAAAGTTGATATGTTCTTTGTAAACGAAGACGTTAGTATTTTGTACATACATTAAATTGTAGTTAATTCTTACATTTCTACAAATATTTATTACATTGAAAATCACTTACAAACAACAACAACAACAAACAAACTGGACGCACATTGATGTATGTTCTTTTTAACGTAGGCATTAAAATTTTCTTAATCTTATCAGTTTTCCGAAATAGTAAAAAATGCTATTGGGAAGGCAAGCATTTACATTTCACAAAAATGAGTTAATTGTTGACAGATATATATATATATATATAATAAAGAATCAACCGATGCAATAGTTTTTAAAATGTCTAAATAAATAAATATAATCATGTTCCTTGATATAAAATAATTACCTGAATAGTATTTTAGTTAAGAGAAAGTAATGCAGTATCTTCCGCCTATATCCGTCTAAGCAAAATCAATTGCAATTTTCTGCTTATTACGAACGAGAACATTCAAATCCGATAAACAACTCATAGGCTAATCAGGTTATGCATAAGATTGGTAGTCTTGTGTAGCGATACTAATTGCTCTCTTTGGAATTATTGAATATAATTTCAGATTCCCACTCATCTAAAGTTTTTTATAGATTTTTGAAGTTGAAAATGGATTATCGGTATTTTCCTGTAATTAAAAACAAAAAAAGTTAAGTTTAATTATAAAGAAAGTTGGGAAATAGTTACATTTTTCTTACCTTCCTATCGGCGTTATTGCGCTTGTCGTCCCAAAAAATTTATACGGCATCCGTCTATAAGAAGAGAAATTTATCAAGTAAACAACATACCTCCTTGGTAACTCCTTGGACACTTGAACTGACAACTTCGTTAGCGCGTTCGATATAAGGATTATTATCATTTGATTTATTTGCCAGATATTATTTTTATTTTAATTAATAAGAATTATTCAAAATTTAAAATTTTTTTCATTAATTTAACTAAA